CTTCATTCACCGATGAACGTTGACTAGTCGCTTTTTGCCTGGAATCGGCGTGTCTAACTCGAGGGTAATGTCAATAGTGATTGGGGTTTACGCACAACGGCTTTCCACTCCAAGCTCTGAAAACAGTCGCCATTATCTGAAATACCGGGAAACATGAGAAGTGCCCACCTTCTCAGTTTCGATCATATTGTTGTGGGTATAGAGGAGCGGACATTTCAACAGGATGGAATTGATTTAAAAGAATTCACAACGAGACGGTAAATAATTTCATTGCCCAAACATGTTAGAAAAATGACGAATAAATGTTTATAGAAGTGTCTCAGATGAGACGGCGAGAAATCCAACACATAAATACAACGTAAAAGTGATGAAACGCAGAGGGGAACGTGAAAAGCACAAAGAAATGAAACGAACGTAACATTTGTATTAACAATAAGTGAGATGATGATTAAATGTGAGGCAATTGGAAAATTATTATATGAGATTTAAAGCGCCATGTAGAAGAGTTTAACGGGCATACTTATAAGTGTTATTCAGAATATACATAAATCTTTTAGAATATGAATACATTTACGATAAATGCGTTAAAATGTTTAGCAATGTAAACAAATGCAGCCAAGTTGGAGAACAAGTGCCTTCTTTAAGAATACATGGGCGATTAGGGAAATTTAAGTTTATAGAAATGAACTGTGAACAGGCTGGCAAAATTCGGTCCATAAACTAAACAATGTATGGAAAAATAGTGGAGCATTTATTCAGTTCTGAAACGATTTGACAGCATCAGACCTGGGACATTCGGAAGGTGCGAACAAGCACCTTATGGGAATTTAAGTTCATAAAAGACTATAAACTTTATAAAAGATCATAAAAATATATGTAACGAAACAGCGAGAATCCATCGCATAAATAAACCAAGTGAAATATGAAGCGTGGAGTAGAAAGTGAAATTCAGATAAAAAAATTGAAATGAATACATTAAGGTGCTGATTGAACGTAATATATATTAAATGAGTTGCTGATTAAATGCGAGGTAATGGAAAAATTACTGAAGAGTTTCAAAGCGATATGAAAATTATTGAATGAGTTTCAAAGCGATATGTACAAGAGTTCAGTGGATATATTATAAATGCTATTCGGTTCGGAATATACATAAACCTCTTTACAACATAAATACGTAAAGGACAAATGCGTAAAAATGTTTAGCAATGTAAACAAATGCAGTAAATTTGAAGAACGAGTGTCTTCTTTACAAATGCACACTCGTTTAGGGAAGTGACAACTGAAGGAACACTGAATGTCAATGTTTTGTCCATAAACCAAACAATTTGTGGAAAAAAACGAAGCGTTCAGGCGCATTGATTCAATTCAGAACCATCGCATCAGACCTGAAGCATTCAGAAGGCACGACCAAGTGCCTTACGAAATTAAGATGTCAGTAAAGAATTAGACACAAATTTTTGCAACTCATCGGATCGTCCAATGTTCAGTGTGGAGAACTGAATTCTCATTCTCCACATATTACACCCCCCACCCCCGCATTCCTTCCACCTCAATAAAATTTCTAGGGTAGGATTGAATTTGTTATGATCGCCGGCGTTTTGGTGTTGCACTTAATTCATTTGACACTGTGAGTGATGATGCACGACATGGATCACTACGTCGTTTTGCTGTCTTGCGTTCTGATGCTTGCTTCGTCGATGATGAAGCGTTGCTTTTAACAAGGAACCGTTCGATGTTTTCATTTGTTCGTTCTTGCAGTGGCGTTTTCGCGAACTGTTTCTTTGTACTCCGTGGCATTCGCGAAGCACTCTTTGGAAGTTTTTTCTTCGGCGTTTTCTTGCCTTCCGGCACCTGCAGTATTCTCAACAATAACATCAGTTCACGTTCGAACACTATCAGCTACGAACTCGAAATAAACTCTGAGAGTTAATGAGTGAAAGTAGTGTAATCACTTAAATACAAATATCCGAAAATTATCATCAAACTGATCCACAACACGTTATTATAATCTAATGTGGACGCTTGAACCAGAGTGAACGTCGCTTAAAATACTTGATTCACGAAAATGAGATTCAAAATGAACCGGAAAAGTTCGTCATCAGATTAGGAAGATTATGAAGTAAATGAAGAAACGAGAGTGAAACTGAAATGATGGCAGATACCATCAATCAAATGATAGCAAATTTGTAAAAGGCGATGCAAAAGACGATAGATGTTTAGGAATGAAACTGAAAACTTGCAATGGACTCAGAATCGACAGATTCATAGAATTTCTTTCGTGCCTCTTTCACATCACTTCCCGGAATCAACGCATACTCGAATCTGAAATTTTCGTAGCTCATTTCAGGTGCTCATATCAACTGTGCAACATTTGATTTCAATTCTGTCCTCGGGAATGGCATAGTATTTCATAACGGACATGCATCAGTACAATTTTTCTTAATGAAAACGTTTTGCTGTCGGCGCTATGAGCTTTGCTTTAAATATTCTAAAAAGAACACCTTTCTTGTTCAAGCCACAGGTTTCGTTCGACTTGTTCGATTTTCTTGAACAATTCATGACGTTCATCAATCGAGACTGAGCTTATATTTGCTGATAGCGATGATGCCTTCTAAAATTTTTTCGGAGAAATAAAATTGATTGAAATTGTGAGTTAAATTTCTCGGTGACAATGCAGATCAATGAATGCAACTATTTTTTCGACTGAATCGTACAAAAAATCTCTCGAAACAATTCTCTGAATTCTGAAATGTTCCAAATATCCCTCCAATATCAGAGCACTCATACGAAATCATTTTCAAACTTCTTCGATACCTTTGGTGAATTATCCCCTTCGACACTCAACTCGAACGCTTCTGCTTCGTTAATATCCGCCATCAAAGAGCTCATATTTGCCTTCAAAACAATGACTTAAACAACTGTAAAACACATAAATCCATGTGGAACGCTGAAATAAAGGGAATCTTCAACTGGCCATTACAATTTCTTGCACTCTTTCACACGAATATTCCAATTCAGTTGAACTATGCAATCCAATCATCAACTCAACAAAAGAATGCTAGAGAAAAAAAATAAATTTTATCCGTTTTTCGAAGTCAACTCACCCAATCATCAACTGACATAGATTTGTCGTTTTCGTATTTGCCATATTCCTGAAAGAAAATTTAGCGCTTAGAGAAAACAGTCAAGCACAATGTAGGCATCAACCTGATATATATTTTGTTAACGCTTCTATAATTGCTCCTATTCTCATTATTCATTAAAANTAAAATGTAAATCAATTTCGCGGTATAGACGTCACATTTCAGCGGAAAAATCAGTCTCTTAAAAGAATTAAAGGATCACTTTCGATTCAACAAAATGCTCTAAAAGAAAAGAACCTTTGTGTACTGATCCTGAAGTTCGCTGAGTTGTCTGGCGAGTCGAAGTTTTTGATCAGCAACGACAGCAAATAGGCATCCATCTCTGCAACATTACAATAACGCTTTTTTAACTGACGATCTCAATGCAGCAACACAGCCAGTGGATTACCGAACGGATTTTATTCAGAGGGGAGATGGAGAATGAGTAAAGGACATCAAACTTTTAGAGGTATCAGCAGTTCCGGTTGATCAGGCTTAATATGAACACCAAAGCTTAAACTAAACAATTACCATTCAGTCTCTGAGATATCAAGACTGAAATAAAGGAATATATAAGTCAATCGCATGGAAAAATGTTAACACGAGCGATCAATTAATTTACTTACGTCATTTTGAAGGCAACATTCTCGAGTAAATGTGCGAATTTAGCGAGTCGAATGGATGATCCATCTTCATAGGACCCTTAAAGTTAGTCAATTCAAATCGCTCGCGCTCAAGACAGGCCATTTTGCTAATTCTATTTTTAACAGCATATTTCCAACAAATACACAAAGGGTGTGGTTTTCTAAAATCAATTCAAAATACTTCCTGACGTCAGAAATATTTTCATAATGCCAGAGAATAACTGAAATGAGTAGCTAATGTACTGTTCAAATCATTCGCAAATGATATCATACTATGAGATTGTTATAAGCACCAAGTTAAACCAGAACAATGACAACAAATAAGCAATGTTAACGAAATTACGTTTGATTCAGTATGCAAATAACGAAAGCATGAAATCATCACAGGGATGAGACAACTTACAAACGTGTCTTCTGAAATAATACGTCACATCATAGCATAAACCGTCCTGTAATAGTATCATCTTATCGTCTTTGAACGGTACCAAAGCGAACATATGGAGAATGCTATCATCCATTTCGACAGACGGCACCACGCCTTCCTTTCTGAAAAGAAAAGCTCTCGAGAAACAATAGCCATAATAATCAATTAAATTCATAAATCAGGACTATAATAAACTTATCAAAATTAGTCAGTGTGATGGAGGCATCCAAAGATGTGAAACATAGCAAGAATATTTTCTCCCTATGAGATCATTAAGTATCATATGTTAGTGATGTTTTTACACAATTTCACTTTAAATAAGTGAAACGTATGCTCAAATCTGTTCCGAATGCAGAATAAAAATCTGTTCTTGATTTATAAAATGATTCGGTAAATTTGAGCTGGCTGATAAACCGGCCTTTAGTGCTGACTGGAAGCGAATCTAGCGAGCATAATTCAAATTTTAAGCCAACTTTATCTATAGCTCATTATGAATAATTTCTATGAACAGTGCCTGATTGTGATAATCAGTTTTTGACTTAAACTACGAATATTTCAGATTGAAAAANAAAAACTCAAAGGTTACATTGAGATGGAAAAATTTAGATTTAAAATTGAGATTGAAAAGCTCAAAAATTACACTGAGATGAAGTTTTGTACGAAAGCAGCCTCCATCAAGAGTCGTTTATTATCGCACAAATCATAGTTGAGATCAAAATACTCGACGGAGTCATCGCGAAACGCTTCCGGATAAACGATATTCAAAAGAGACACTGCCAACTGGGCGTTACTTATTGCATCCTGTCAACAGTACATAAACCTCAATTCAACTAGATAAACGTTGAGAACATTCTGCTCAAATGAGTAATTAAAGTGGAATTGTAACTATAAAAATATTTCAATCTTAAAATTGTGAACTTTCGACCAAAATAAAATGATTTGTCTTGATAAAATTAACGTAACTGTTACTTTACAATTTTTATCAATACATTTTCCCTTTTAGTTCAACTTTATTTTCAGAATGAAAGAGGAATGTTTTACAAGTTTGATGAGTTTGGTGTCCTCAACTGCTTGCGCATTCCTCAGCAAGCGCTGCATCGATCCATAACCTACGTATCCATATAAATCTCTTAAAGTGATGACGATTACCCTTGACCATGAGCCACAATTCAATCAAATTTTTTGCCTGACTGAAACGGTTTCTCCTCATATGGAAAGTAATAAAATAAGCAATTTTCGATAAAATTTAATGGAACAAACTAAATTCATACTTTGTTTCTTCAATAGTGGTATCCTTGTCAATTGGCTGTAGATTAGCATTTGCACCGATGATCGATAAAAAATCAGATATATTCTCTGAAATGTATTGCAGGTATTTTCCATTTGACGCAGAAAAATGAACAATTCAATTCAAGGTACTTGTTGATCACATAGCATATCTGATCACAATGTCGAGCCTCAGAGAACATTTTGAGTATGAGTTTGCTGTCGGCACAATCCCACTGAGAGTTAACCAAAGAAAATGACAACGTACCCAATGACGGTGATACTTTAGTGAAGGATACTTTCAATGACTTCAGATCGAATTTTTCCGGTTCATCCATCGTGAATGAGTGCTTCTGGAATCTGAAACAAAAACTAGGTATTGAGGAAAAAACTTTGTATCATATTCGAATGAAATGAATTCGTAGTGGCTAAAGATTCATGAACGTAGCTGGCTTAGACAATTGATTTGAATGTTGATTGATGTTCTATGTAGCAGGCAAGAATCTGCCTAGCCTATCTATGGCCATGACACATTTCCTTCAGAAAACGAGAGCCAATTTAGCGATGAAGCAAAATTCTCATGATCACATTTGCATGACCACTTACAATTTTGAGCATAACAGTTTGAATTTACAGTATAATCGCGCCTTATTAATGTAAAGTTCGCTTATAAATATTTTGAAAACTGGATTCAAACATTGATCAACGGTGTGGAATCGCAAAAATTATGCAAGATTTTCGATAACCCATCAATATTTGATCATTATTCAATTCTGGTACTCTCATTTGATATGTGGCAACAGTTGCAAATTCTGAGGCATCGATCATTTGCTCATCTTTCTAATAGCGGTTAACAAAGCTGGCAAAGAGATCATTTTTTCGGCACTCTTTTACTTTGGGGGGCGGGCTCGCACGCAAGCAGGCTCGCCATTCTTTCTCGCATTTATTTCATTTTCGGTGCATTACAGAATGCGGTTGTTTATTCCTAACGGTGGGTATCGCTGAACTGATTCCGAAATATTCTTTGAGGAACTTCTGTGGTCCGGTGATTCTCGATTAATTCTGGTTGCCCCTTGAGTGAGATTTTGTTCGCGATAAACATTCCGAGCCCAGTATCGTTCAAAGCAATAGTTCACGAGATAACAATCATGACAGTTCGCTTCTTTGGGATGCTCGGACGATATAAGTCGGATGATCATTGACAATTCGCAGAAATTACGAAATATAAACTGTGATCATCATTAATCGCATGATGAACTGCCGCAGTGAAGTGTCCGATCAGTTTACAGTTGCAGTTGTTGGCGCGTAATGACCTGACACAATTTTTAAGCGCGCAACTTTCCAATTTTGAATTGTTTCTTGTGAAATTTTACGTTATAACTAGAATCGAGTGATAATTTTAACATGATTCTGCGATATCACTTTATGTGATTTTCGAATGTGCACAGTTTTCGTAAAAAAATTCCGTATATCCGTAGTTGGCACAAGTTTAGAGGCGATCATATTCGAAGATTCATCATTTTTGACCAATGGAACAATATCTGAGCGATATTGTTGTCCATGTTTCAATTAATAAATTCATTTTTTTTGCTTTATAGTTGATTTTTTCATTGTTCTTGTAAGTGCGAAACGTGCATTGCAGCAGTTTGAGGTGAAAAGCCATTTAGAATGGACACTCTAAACTGTGTTTGAGCCTTTAGGTCAAATGTTTGATGGTAATTTAAATGTTTGATAAGGTTGCAATTCCGAAAATTTTGACCAATATTAACGATCGCATGATGATAATATCTCTTTCGTAAGTCGTTAATTATTTTCTGCATCTAGCGAAATTTCGAANCGAGATGGGGATAAATGATAAAAGCTCAACGGCGTCGAAGAAGAAGAACGTCCAAGTAGTGGTTCGTGTGAGGTGAGTGCTCTGGACCTAGTTTCAGTTCGTGTTCAAAATGAATGATGCTTGAAGAATTATCACTGTGATTCCACATCAAGTGTTGTGAATCGCTTTGTTTGATCGAAGCTAGAGCGTTTGAACGCAGAGTTGCTGTAACAAGCGACTTCAGTTTTTCGGTGAAAAGCAACCATAGCAGCTGGAAAAAGTAAAGGGAGATGGTGGTTATCACATATAAGTTGGGGTGTGCGAGGCAGAACTAACGAGATCTATCAATTCATGCTCTTATATTATTAATATGAGGATTTTTGATGAATTTCAGGCCATTAAATGAAAAGGAGAAAGGCGAACGTTCACATTTGGCCATTCGCACTAATGGACTGGCGCAAACAGTGTCAGTGAAAGATCGTAACGCATGGAAGGAGTTCGGACCGTTTGATAGGGTATGAATTTTTCTATTGATTCTGATATTGTTCAGTGTTGGACTGATTGTTGATTAGTTGAAAGTTATATTGATCGTTCAGTTTTAATGGCAAATTCTTAGCGATCGTAGTGAAGAATAATATTGTAATGAAGAATAATTTTGAAGAATCCAAAAATGAAACGGTTTAGGTGTATAGTGCTGATTCATCACAGTCAACAATATACATGGATGTTGTTGATCCATTGGTCAAAGAAGTCATTCAAGGATACAACTGCACTATCTTTGCGTAAGTTTTATTGTTGTTAGATTTAACTTTCTACACTGTCTTCATCATTCTGATGAATTTTATTCATGTTTTAACGCTGAAACAATTTTTGCTGTGATTTTGCACTCTTCGTATCAGATTTTTGTCTTCTGAACACATTAGATCAACGGTTTAAGTAGAAAAGTGCAATATTACCGATTAGATGAAACTGCGAACAGGGAATCATGAATTTTGGTTGAGTGAGCAATCTTAAGTGGGCCAAATAATGATGGGTAAAAAGACAAATATGATCGGCGAGGTGGCAAAAATGTATGGTACCACATGTATGTTGCAAACAAATTGTGCTAGAAGTGTATGGAATGTGAGGTGATTTCATTTCAGATATGGTCAAACGGGTACAGGTAAGACGTATACGATGGAAGGTGAACACGATCCAAACGGACAGTACACTTGGCAAGACGATCCGCAAATGGGTATCATTCCTCGTGCGCTCATGCAAATTTTCAATGAATTGGACAATCAGGTATTGAATTGTTCGATTATTTGCTAATTTTCCAGTTAACGTGTTTAACGAAAAGAAGAATCTGTTCGAATTTCCAGAACGTGGAAGAGTATTCAGTACGAGTGTCGTATGTCGAGTTGTACAATGAGGAACTGAACGATCTGTTAAATCGATCCGAACAGCCTCAGCAAAGACTGAGAATCTATGAGGATGCAGTTCGTAAGGTGGGTTGATTAGTTTTTCTTTGATTGAACAGAAATTCAAGTTCGTTCATTTCACTTAGAAGTCGTTGAATTCATTTGAAGATAACGAGATTTATATCTTGGATATTTTTTGTATCATTGATATAATTTCTATCAGAAATAACAGTGAAATAAGTATTCTATAACAAATGAATCACTACTCAACCTCGATGCATCGTTGATAATTTTATCCACTTTAACCAAGATAACTGAGGTTTTGAGCCAATCAAGGTGATGAAGAGTGCCGCTCTTCCCAATGAATATTTAGGTAAATTCTTGGATCGGAAATTTCGGTGGTTCAAAAACGATTTCCTCTATAACGTGAAAGTTGTTTTTATGAGGTTGTATGAGTATGTGGTTGATTCCAGGGTTCGGTGATCATCAGTGGACTGGAGGAAGTGGCGGTTCGTGAACGTGACGAGGTATATGAGTTGTTACGTC